CCGGTTAACGAACTTTTTTCATTCCAGTAGTATGTTCAGGTGCCAGTACTGACCGAATTTTTTCCCATAAGGAATATGTGAAGTATATTAGTCCATTTCAGACCCCCAAACATACACGTACAAACACACTTACATAAATACACTTACATAATTGGTCGCATTTGGAGGTGATCGTTAAGCGGGGGTCCACTGTATATTGAATTGATGGGGACTCAGCTCTAAATGTCAGAAGGGCAGATCACTCTTATGGCTGTAAGGCAGCTGAGTCAAGCCTGTTTTGCTCAATATAATAGATTATACTATAGACACACAAACACACAATTTAAATAAGTAGTTTATAAAGTTGTATTTCTTTTTGTAAAAGTAAAATTAAGGCGTGGTAGAATTGTGATAACTGGAGAATTGGGCTTGGCAACAGTCTTTTGTTTTTTGGTGGGTGTGGGAGGAGCTTAGCTAGGCTCCTCCCTCTCCCTCTCTCTCTGCTGGTGGACTTCAAGCTGGCAGGACCTATGGGTCCTTCTTCTATTTCTTTTGGGCATTATGTGTGCTCCAGGGGTGAGTTTTTATAGCTTAAGTTGTGGCCACCATACCCAGGGTGACTAAAGTGTGTCAAAACACTGGTTAGCCCAGAGATTAGTCATGAAGGGAGAAGGGCAAAGTTGCTGAGATGTGCCATGTGGGAGAATAGCTAACGAGTGTGTAGATTTATGTTTTGAATATGTGAGTGCTGTACGTAATTGTATATTCTGTATATATCTATTTAGAATACAGTTATATTTTTATAGTAGTAGTTTAAATAATCTGTGAAGAGGGCTGTTGAAAGGATCAGAGACACTGAGGATGATCAGTCATGATGTAAGTGTTAGCCTAGACATAAGGCCTTTACGTAAAAGCTACCCCACACTAGAACATATAGTGAAAACCTTACTGTCAAAGTGTAAGATATAACAAGATAACGTAACACCTCCAACCTTCCCTCACCATCATAGTTGAGTGTGTGGTATGGGAGGGCTGTGATGAGAGAAGCAGCGAGGATGGCAGCAGCAGCAGCGGCAGCAGCAACACTAACCACAGTAACACCTGCAGCAGCAACATCACCACCACTATGGAGGCAGTGGCAACAGCAGTGGCAGCAGCAGCAGCAACAATAACAATACCAGCAGCACCAGGACCACCACCACCACCACAACTACTGCCACTCTCCACCCCACTGTATCTGACCTAACACATTTTACATATGTACACCACCCTCTCAATGTTATGGAGAAGTCATTAGGTGCCTGGTCATATTAACCCTTTCAAGGTCCAGAGACCAAATCTCAAAGGGTGCACCAGGGTCCAAGAATTTTTTGGGGAAAAAAAAAAAATCTTACAGAATTAAAGATAATAATTTTCTGTAGGTAATAAAACAATTTTTTTTTTCAATTAGTAGTTACCAAGATATAAAGGCGTGAAGTTGACCCTCAATGACCTGGTGGCAGCAACATCTGCAACTTTCGTAAATCCTCGTTATTTTATTTTAGGTTTTTGTTACTTTTTTCTTTTCTAATATTTTTTTTTTCCAGTAACTTCTGTGACCTGTGAGACTAATATAATGTATAATGTATAAATGTACACTCATTGTATTCAACACAATAACTGCAATAACTGTCTTTGTTTATCATTAAATTGCTTACAAAACTTGTTTACAAGTTTATTGTAAACAAAATGATGAAAATATTAGTGTGGTTGAGTACAATGGTACCATATAGTACAATGGTACCAGAGGGTGCAATGGTACCATATGGTACAATGGTATCATATGGTACATGGTACCATACAGTACAGGGCACCATATGGCACAGATACAGGGATCCCTATGGAAATAAGTCACCCTGACTTTTTGGGTTATCCTAGGATTTTATACATATGCTGCTATGTATGATAATCTATGTAACTGTATTTGTGTACAACTGAATAAACTTACTCAGGCACATGTGGCATCGTAAGTAAATTCATTTAGGTATACACAAATAAAGTTACATAGATTATCATACACAGCAGCATATGTTTGGAGACCTAGGATAACCAAAAAAAAAGTCACACAAATGTATTTCCATTAGGGTCCCTGTACCATATGGTGCAATGTACCATATGGTATAATGTACCATATGGTACAATGTACCATATTGTACCATATACCATTGTACCATATGATACCACTGTACCATATGATAACATTGTACCATATGATACTATTGTATGATATGGCACCATTGTACCATATGGTACTATTTTACCATGTGATACCATTGTATCATAAGGCACAATGTACCATATGGTGCAGAGCCATAGAATTTCTCTTCAGATCTACTTCCATCAGTCTTAGAACTATAAGTTGGGAAGAGGAGAGTCAGAATTCGCCTGGGGAGTGAGAGCTTCCTTGCTGCCAGGCATGGTGAACAAAGCCACTTTGGTGGCGTTCCCACAATGCCATGCGGGCGTCCAGATTTTTTCTAGAGTGCGCACACTGACCACCCAGACCCATTCTCTTAGATGTAGGCCTACCAGCCTTCTCGAGCTAAATTTGAGGCTGCTAGAATTTTGGCGTAGTTCTACGGTTTGGACCCACAGCTCAAAGTCGTAGAACTACAACACGGACCCTGAAAGGGTTAATGACAACAACATTCTTCATAGTTACCAATCAGGCTCTAGGAGATCTTATTCAGTCGAAACCTCCCTAATTAAGATACTTAACTACGTACTTGACAGTATACTGCCCTCTCTAGAATTTTGGATATTACACTGAGTATACTAACAGGCCTATAGTTGCTGACATCAGACCTACTATTTTTCTTGAAGACAGGAGCAACTCTGGCCTTTCTGAACCCCTCTGGTACAATATTAGTGGTGATGGACAAATTTATTATGTGAGCAGTGGGGATTGGCAATTCAGAGGCACCATCTTTCAGGAACTTAGACGGAATGTTATCTGGGCTGGTGCTCTTAGTTGGGTTTAATCTGCTTAGTTCTTTCTGCACGAGGTCATGAGATACACTTACTAACTGACAACTGTTTGAGGTTGCCCTTTTCTTGGTATAGTATGTTTTAACCCTTAACCCTTTGACTGTCGAAGGGCCAAATCCTGAAGTTGCTTCTGGTGTCGCAAAATTTTCGAAAAAAAAAAAAATTATTTTTTCTTATGAAATGATAGAGAATCTTTTCCCGATTGTAAAGACACCAAAAAAACGAAATTTGATGGAAAACTGACGGAATTACGCTCTCGCGAAGTTAGCGACTTCGGCGATATTTAAAAATCGGCAATTTCGCCCACTTTGAGCCCTATTTTCGGCTAATTCCGTTATTCCAGTCAACCAAACTCATAACTATTTCTTCAGAACTCTATTTTTTCTATCGATTGAGTACAAGAAACTGCCCATTTACCGATTTCAACTACCCAATAACATGGTCAGAAATTTGCAATTTGGCCAATTTCACGAAAATTAAAAAAATACGACAATTTCAAAATAAGGTCCAGAATGAACAATGCAGACATTCCTGGCTCTAAAATAACATTTTCTTTGTTCATCAGTCATGTCTCCAGGTCCCTGTGATATTACTCTTGCTTTTTATTTTGAAATTTTATTCAAACAAAAAATAGAAGATTTACTGTTATGCAGACTACTGCAATACTGTAATAATTGTAAAAATTACATCAACCCATTCATGACTGCGTATTAGAATGGCTATTTGGACATTTATTCGACAATGACATCATTTGTTTACTTTTGAACATCGGCAAAAATCAAACATTTCCTGTACTTTGTGCTCCATTTCCAGGTTCTTTTTATAGTAAAATTAATCAAAATCACCTCCATTTCTATAATATAGTTTCCATTCTATCAAATGAGACCAAGAAAACGAGAATACAACCACAAATACTATACGAAAATAGACCACAAAGTCGGCATTTTAATTAAAAAAAACGGTCGGAGTTTTTTTTTTCTCATTATGCACTGCGTGCTCCAGGATTTTTTTTATGTGGTGCACACTGACCACACAGACCCATTCTCTCACATGTGGGCCTACTAGCTTTCTCCTGCCTGATTTGAAGCCGCTAGAATTTATGAGTATATATACGTCAAACACGGTACCTCGCAAACGTATATATACGGCCGCGACAGTCAAAGGGTTAAACTGTCCAAATGTAGATCTATATTCGCTCACTTAGCATGTAGATCTACGTTTTTTTACATAAAGCATGTGCAATCGAATGTAGATCTACGTGAGCAAACATAGATCTACGTTTGGACAGTTTAAGGGTTAAACTTATCAGAGTCTGTGTTAAAAGTAATTGATGCAGCTGGTAGTTTACTTACTAGTGTAGATGCGACAGATGTGTAGTAGGAATAAAAACAATTTTGCCATGGCATACCTCGTTATCAATATTTAGTACGATGCTAGATCTGTCTACGGGTTTATGGCTATATCCCAACTGTTTTAGTTGCTGCCAGAGCTTTCTATGGTTATCCTTGTACTGTTCGATTTTTGAGCAATAGTGCATTGCCTTTGCTCCTTTTATAAGCTTCTGCACTTTGTTCTTCACCCTTTGGACAAATGTCTATGAAAAGGCTTGTAAATGCCTATGGAAAAAACATGACTAACTTTGAGGAAATTTGATTTAGAATTTTTTTCTTAGAATACAACCTCTTCGTTAATTAAGCAAAGATTGCTTAACCACTGGAAAATTATCATGCATTTTTCCAAAGCTGACCATGGCCAGACCTTCTGACCTATTGGTAAACTGATGCTAATATTTAAGAAATCTTATATTTAGCCAAAACCTAACCTCTGCACCAACTTGCAGCAATACCTGGGTAGTGCATGTCTTTCTCGCTGGGCTACTTATCCTGTAATGATCTGATAATGAAACTTATGAAATATTAACATGTAATACAGCATCTGTTAATTATTCTGCTTTCTACAAAATGTACTGATTGTATCACTCAAAAAATGTTTACCTTTTCTCCATAGTCTAATAATCTAAGCAGTGTCTGATTATCAGGGTTCTGGGTGTCATCTGTAGGAGCACTGGTGTCTTGCCCGACCATGTCACCAATATCCAGTCCTTCAGTGTCATCCTCTGTTTCTGAGGCTGTGCGGTTGTTAAGGCCTCCCGTCTTCACTAAAGCTCCTTGCAATCCATGCATATCTACTTTGAGGGAGAAGTAAATATGAATATCATTAGTGTCTCATATGTAAAATCCTACATATCCTTTCAGGGTTGTATAACCTCCTGTAATTTATTTATCAAAATACCATATTTATAATTCCATAAATAAAATTAATATACAGTAGGTCCCCATTTATATGGCAGGTTAGGCTCCAGGCTACCACCATAAATTTAGTGGAACACCATTTTTCCACTTATAAATGCATAAAAACTAGATAACAAGTTTACACTAACATATATTAAGTTAGCAATAGAACTAGGCATTAAAAAACAATAACAAAGTAAAATATAGAGAGGGAACAATCATTACTTACTATAAAATATTTTTAGTCTTAATTGTATGAAATCAAGTGTGGTATGTATGGTAGCCAGCCAGGCTACCATACCAGGCCACCCAACCCACATATAATACAGTGGACCCTTGGGTAACAACGTCATCGGATAACGAAAAAATCAGATAGCGACACGTTTTGTGTCAAAATATTGGCTCGGTGACTGACACAGAACTCGGTTAAGGACATTCATCTCGAACGTGTCAGCGCGGCATAAGTGGCCTGGACACTCCAAGTGCAGCCAGTGTGCCATTGTTTACAAGCCAGTGAGGACAATTCCACGCATACAAGCGATATCTTTTGTATTACTCCATTGTTTTCAGTGCTTGTAACTGCTAAATAAGCCACCATGAGCCCAAAGAAAGCTTCTAGTGCCAGTCCTGTGGAAAAGACGGTGAGAAACACTATAGAATTCAAGAAAAAGTTTGTAGAAAGATACGAAAGTGGTAGTGGTATAGGGTGGTAGTGATGGTGATAGAGGGTGGTAGTATGGGACAACAGGTCTGCTGCAGTGTTCCTGCTCTCTTATGTACACCAGCCAGGGTACTTCCCTACATCCCAGCCAGGGTACTTCCCACATACCAGCCAGGGTACTTCCCTACATACCAGACAGGGTACTTCCCCACACACACGATTTGATTTGATTTGATTGGGACTTGCACATGAGTGAGCAGAATTATCAAAGCTTATTGCTTGGTAAGCATTTTAAATTGGGTTGGGCAAATACGATTCTATTAGTGGGATGGTTTGTGAAGGACCTGCCTAGTATGGGCCAACAGGCCTGCTGCAGTGTTCCTGCTTTCTTATATGCAAACATTTATGGATGAAAAACACCCTGACACAGCTGTTGCAGGCCATGCTGGCAACATCTACAATGACAATGTTGTGTCCCATTTTAGGGAAATCTTAACCCACTGACTGTCGCAAGCCCCTTTCTGAAACTGTCATTCTGTGTCGCAAACATTTTGGAAAAAAAAATTATTTTTTCTTTTGAAATGATAGAGAATCTTTTCCCAATGGTAATGACACCAAAAGTATGAAATTTGGTCAAAAACTCACGGAATTACACTCCCGCGAAGTTAGCGGTCTCGGTGACATATACGCATCAGCAATTTCGCCGATTTTGAGCCCTGTTTTAGGCCAATTCCGTTGTTCCAGTTGACCAAACTCATAGCTATTTCTTTAGAACTCCATTTTGTCTATTGGTTGAGTACAAGAAACTGCCCATTTACCGATTTGAACTACCCAATAAGGTGGTCAGAAATTAGCAATTTGGCCAATTTCACGCAAATTAAAAAAGATGCCAATTTCAAAATAGGGTCCAGAATAAACAATGTAGACATTCTTGGCACTAAAATAACATATCCTCTGTTCATTAGTCACGTCTCTAGGCCCCTCTTATATTACTATTGCTTTCTATTTTGATTTTTTATTCATACAAAAAAAATACAAAATTTATTGTTATGCAGACTACTGCATTATTGTAAAAATGGTATAAATAATATCAGTGTACTAGTGAAAGAATTTTAGACTCCCCAGTTGACGTGTATTGGACATGTGGTGTAATTTGCTTACTCCTGAACATTGGTAAAAATCCAACATTTCCACTACTTTGAGCTCAATTTCAAGGTCGTTTTCATCATAAAACTAATCAAAATCATCTCTATTTCTGTAATATTTTTTCCATTTTATCACCTGAGACTATGAAAACGAGAATACAATGATAAATACTACATGAAAATACACCTCAAAGTCGGCGTTTTAATAAAAAAAAACGGTCTTTTTTTTTCTTCTCGTTATGCACTGCATGCTGCAGGATTTTTTTTATGTGGTTCACACTGACCACACAGACCCATTCTCTCACATGTGGGCCTACCAGCTTTCTCTTGCTTGATTTGAGGCAGCTAGAATTTACGCGTATAAATACGTCTGAAGCAGTGGCGTGTACGACATATATATACAACGTAAACAGTCAAAGGGTTAAAGAGTTGCCAGAAACAGAGCTCTGTGGGCAGATTTTTGGTGTGACAGGGGTCCAGTGACTCTCAAGCTGGTGCTAGTGGCATTAAAAATCAAAGAAGGGAGGTAACCCCAGAAAAGGACTTGTTACCTGAAGTCTTTATGGAAGGGGATTCCCTTCCAAACAATTGTAAATTCCTCCATCCTCTGCCCTCCTCCCATCTCATAACTCATCAATAAGTCTTCAATAAAGTTAAGTGTCATTTTAGTATTGTTTATTCTGCATGTCTCTTTGTTTTCTGTGTAGAGAAATGTATATTTCATGTAAAAAAATTTTTTTTGGCTTAATACTTTTGGATGTCTGAAACGGATTAATTGGATTTCCATTATTTCTTATGAGTAAAATTAATTAGGAGGGATATGTTGTGTATCTTTATACGTATATGCTTCTAAGCTGTTGTATTCTGAGCACCTCTGCAAAAGCAGTGATAATGTGTGAGTGTGGTGAAAGTGTTGAATGATGATGAAAGTATTTTCTTTTTGGGGATTTTCTTTCTTTTTTGGGTCACCCTGCCTCGGTGGGAGACGACCGACTGTTTAAAAAAAAAAAAAAAAAAAAATTCGGCTAAAGACGAGATCTCTGGAAGAGATTAACACTTTGGCTGTCGCAACCCCAAATCCTGAAGTGTGTCTTGGTGTTGAAAAATTTTCAAAGAAACAAAAAAATTATTTTTTCTTATGAAATGTTAAGATTCATTTTCTGATTGCTATAAGCCCCAAAAAAATTTTGCGATCAGTACTTACCGAGATATAGAGGTATAAAGTTGGCAGAAAATGAGCTGTGTATGGCAACAGCAGCAAATGTCACTAACCTGGTAAACTTAGGTTTACTTGCATTCCATGTTTTTTTGTTTTTCACTATTTTATTTTTTCAGGTAACTTATGTGGCCTGTGAGTCCAAAGTAAGGTGCAATGTACATATATACACTCGTATACAACACAATAAGCGCACAAAAATAATTATCAATATATTGTTTACAAAACTTGTTTACACAAAGAAACAATACAAAAAAATTGTTTATTACCATTGTTTTATAATAGATATACAAATGTACAGTCACTGGACATGTTCCTAAAAGTTCTGCAGCTTGTGGAACTCTCTGAAACATAGTTTCATACATAATGGTGTTTTACACTTCTCACACATAAAACAAGCGTGTCTGCATTTTTGTGTGCTTTTTTTTTTATTTGCACAGACAAAACACCTCGTCTGAGCAGTTTTCTTCAATGTATTAGCAGGCAGTTGTGTTAGGTAGTTATCCTAGGTAAATGGTCGTGTGTCATCATTCCTTCCTTTCTACCTTACTGCACTCCTTCCTACCTTCCTTCCTACATTCTTTCCTTCCTTCATTCCTACCTACCTTCATTCCTATCTACCTTCATTCCTACCTACCTTCATTCCTACCTACCTTCCTTCCTTCCTTTCCTACCTACCTACCTATTTTCCTTACTTCTTCTTTCCATCCTTCCATACTTTTTTACTTCCTTCCTTTCATCTCATCCTTCCTTCCTCCCTGACTTCCTTTCTTCCTTCCTTCTGGTTTCGATAATATATATACACATATAGCCACTGGACACATTATTATAACTGCTATTATCTTCAGCAAGCTTGTGTTGTGTGTGAGTGCGGACTTCTAATTGTTCTGAGTCAGGGTCGGCAGCTGTCAAAATGACATATTGTCTCATTACTCACTCCCCTACCGCCTGTCAAAACAATGGGGTCGGATGCTCGCTTCCCCTCCATCTTACTACTTAATTATCTTTCTCCCTCATTCTCTCAGTCCCTCTCTCATTCTCACCCTCATTCTTCCTCCTCTCATTCTCTCTCTCATTCATCATTCTTCTGGTATCCTGGGCATTGCTTTTGGTCACAAACTCCCCAAAACCATGAAACTGATCTTCACTGGCACTTCCATCTGTGTTAAAGCATCACTTGAGAAGAGTAGAGTCCCAGATTTGCTGGGGAGTCACATATTTCTTACTGCTAGGCATGCTGAACAAGGACTACTGAAATGGCATTCCCACAATGCACCACTGGCTCCCCGATTTTTTTTAAAAGGTGCACACTGACCATGGACACCCGTTTTCTCACATGTGGGCCAACCAGCTTTCTCCTGCTTGATTTGAATCTGTTAGAATTTATGCGTATTAACCCTTTGACTGTTTATGTCGGATCATTATTTAGTTGTAGCTACAGTTAGAGTAAGAGGTAGATGGGAAAAGAGGAAGGTGGCAACAACAAGTAAGAGGGAGGTGAAAGTGTATAAATTAAGGGAGGAGGAAGTTCGGGAGAGATACAAGCGACTATTGGCAGAAAGGTGGGCTAGTTCAAAGATGAGTAGTGGTGGGGTTGAGGACGGTTGGAATAGTTTAAAAATGCAGTATTAGAATGTGGGGCAGAAGTTTGTGGTTATAGGAGGGTGGGGGCAGGTGGAAAGAGGAGTGATTGCTGGAATGATGAAGTAAAGGGTGTGATAAAAGAGAAAAAGGTAGCTTATGAGAGGTTTTTACAAAGCAGAAGTGTTGTAAGAAGAGCAGAGTATATGGAGAGTAAAAGAGAGGTGAAGAGAGTGGTGAGAGAGTGCAAAGGAGAGCAGATGATAGAGTGGGAGAGGCACTGTCAAGAAATTT